CCGCACTCATGCACCTTGTCCTCCAAGCCCCTAAATTTTAATTGATGTGAAATAATCACTGGAAGGAACGGTTGCCTCGTGTTTTGGTCACAAGTTTTTGAAATTAGATGCGATTTACATTTTACAGTAAGTAAGATCAGAGCTTCGTAAATCTTTCCCGAAATCTTGCACAATAATGGACGATCCTCAAGATTTGACTACCTGTGCAATCTTTTCTCACAGCGCTTAATTTTATTAATGGGTAGCAAACACACTTCGAGATTAACAATTGCGTCATCTTCCTTGTTTATCGAACATTGAATTGACTCAAAAGACACTTCCACTTTCTAAAGAAAGTGGACAGCTACGTCTTAATCCTGAAAAAATATTCGTGTCATCATTTCCTCTTGAGATACTCACTCATACGCGTGTTAATAAACATGTGTATACACCTGCATTCACTATTTGAGCTCATTGAACGTTGGACATTTAGTCAAAATAACGAAGGGACCGATCAGTCAATCGCTTGGCTGACATAATGGCGTAACCACACATAGAGATGAGCCCGGAAAAGCATTGAGTTATATAGGCGACAGGGTTCATTGCAGAGTGTAGTTACGCCCTTATATTTGAGGGGCGAAGAATTCCTAGGCTCTGGGAGGATAGCTCCAGTGCTTTCAAAGCAACTGTTGAACGAAAAGAAGATGTTGCGTGGGTGTGATGAGCAAAGGAGGGCGGGGGAGACACAGGTAGTTTTGTTTACAGTACGCACGCTTGCATAATCAACCGCTGCGTGAAGAGGAAGAGGGAAGACCCATATCATACCTGGATCTTTGTATATAATAACCAGAAGTTTATGTAAATCAGGTTACTCTTTCATTGAGCTTTAGGACTTGGAGATAAGATACGGGCTCGTTTAGGGAGTCTTTGGGATAAAAATTGATCGGTCTATGTCGCTTTTCTGAGGTCATTGAGATTGATTCGGATGCTCATCTGACGTGTTCTCTTAGCACGGCAGGTTACTCTGTCAAAGTACTGCCGTGAAAAGTAGAAACGCCGTATAAACCGTCAGGCGCAGCTAAATTTTCTTTGATAAAATACAAATTTACCATGAAAGTTTTCAGTCTTTTTCAGCGCTGGATTTAGGGGGTGGCTCCATGGGACGCGGCCCATGGCGGCAAATTTTGCAATTTCTTAAATGTAGGTGTAAAGAAAAATCGGATTCAGAAAAAAAAAAAAATTACAAACGAGGAAAGGTGACAAAATCTCTCATTTCCCGAGAGTATATCTCTAATTTTGTCGTCTTTCTGTGATGCAACAGACAGCACCTTTAATTAATCGAGTCAAGACTAAGAGAGAAACCGAACACGAAATAGGGCTTGGAACGGCGCGGCGCAGATATATGCCGATGATGACGAGAACTTGAGATGAAAAGGAGAAACCCTAGGCACGGCGCGGCGGTCGGCATGTAGCACATATTAGTGCCTACAAGACTGCATGAATACTTCACGCATTGCGTCAAAGACAGTGCGGTCAGCAGCGGGCGGCATGAAACACATAGCGCCTACAAGACTGCATGAATATTTCACGCATTGCGCAAACGTGCCCTTAGACTGGTTACCGAAGTTCAGTTGTAGGAACTTGTCATGCAGTTAAGTTGTTTTGTTCCTTAGCCTCCGATATGGGACCCTCCTAAGGGGTAGAGCTGTTTAACGGACGGCATGAATATGCGACCCTCAGATGCGCGTTCTGCGTTCTGATTATTGAAATTAACATACATAGCGATAGACAAAGAAGACACAGGGAGTGTGGAGCGATCCTATTGGTTTATTATTATTATTTATTATAATTATTTATTATTCCCTCATCTGGGTGGCTCCTATGGACAAAGGGAGAAGTTAATGGATTAACTACAGGAACTCTCGTGGGTCGCCGTTCGTTAGTCTATTACCTACCTTCTTCGTCCATTGCAACCACCCGCTTCTACTGATAGGATTCCTCCACATCCCTTTTGTCTTTTTTGCACGGAGAAAAAAACCTCGTGCGTTGGACCCGAAGTTTAGTCATATGGATCTCCGAAGTTTTCGGATTTTGCATCTGAGCATTTTAGGTCTAGCTGTTGAGGTTCGGATTACACATCTGAAACTCCAGTTCTTACATCTGAAATACCTCAGATGTGAGAGCCGAAGTTTTTCGGATGTGAGAACCGAAGTTGTTCGGATGTGAAAGCCAAAGTACCTTAGATGTAAGAACTGAAGTTTCAGATGTGTGAGCCTCAGCAGCTGGACCTAAAGTGTTCAGATGCTCAATCCGAAAACTTCAGTGTTCCATATGACCTAAACTTCGGGTCCTACGCAGGAAGTTTTTTTCTCCGTGTGTCTATAGCTTTGTCTATCAATTTCAATAATCGGCCCGCTGATTCTATTCGAATCTTACTGTCGTCTGTCGATCAGCATCCATATTTTTTCTTCTTTTTCCACACGAAGAAACTTGTGAAAGTGCTGTCGAAAGACCGGAGGCAGCCACCATGCAACGCTAGTATCGGGTGGGTCGGTAGAAAACATCTTCGCTCCAGCTCGGTGAATAATGAGCTGTCGTTAATTAGCCGATCCGAGTATGCTTAATGTACGGTTAACGCAAATGCGACCACCACTACCGCGACACAAAGGAGAAAAATATGAAGCTGCTCTCATTAAAAACCGCGGGTTAGATTGGTGCGGTGAATGTGTTCCTCCGTTCGGTCGGATTCCTGAAAATTATGTAATGGATAAGCTTGGATGGATTGGCTAAATTTAAGGACAAGTCATTTGCGTGAATCCATAAATAATCTGAAAGTAAGGGAACTTTGGTTTTAGTGACTTGACTACCGCATTAAGATAATAAATCGAAAAATGTGCTCAATTTTAAGGTATTTGTTTTGAGCCCATTTAATTTTCACATGCGTTTTCTGGATGCTCATTAACCTGCACTGAAAATAAAATCTACGGGCTACATTGAAATACCGCCCGTTCCGGGCTCAGTGGTCAAAAGAACCAAGTGCTGGAGCCGTAGTTTCGATTGCTGCGGGTGCTACGTCCGGAACTGTTAGCTTCTGAGCCCAGAAAACGGACAGTATGTCTATATAGCCCGTAAGTACGGCTCCTTTGGCCGGATTTTTTTTCAGTGTGCCGCAAAACATGGAGAGTTCAATCAAGTTTTTAGCGATTCCTGACAAAGGGCATATTCAGAAACAGTGAGTGACCTTAGAGGTAAAATAGTTGCAGCATTTAAAACCCCAATCAACAATGTAGCAGTGTTGAGGAGTGAGAAATTCAGTTGTCCTGGATAATTACTTTATGAAGTGTGATGACACCAATGAAACGCCTTTATTGTGAAAGGATACTTCCTAGCGTGGCTGCGGAGGCCAAATAGTTGCATCACTTAAAAACCCAATCAACACTATAGCAGCGTAGATTAGTGAGTAATACGGTCACTTGAGAGTGAAGTTTGGAAGTTCTTAAATGTGTAGTAACCGTTTCGAAGGTCGGTATGAACCGAGATGTACAGTTTCATGAACCGAAAAGTACAGTTTCATTAACCGAAAAGTATGCCGGTATGTAAATTCGTCTCACGGTTCATAACACAGAACTTCTTCTTTTGTATATTAAGGTGACGGTTTATAAAAGCACTGAAAAAAAAGTTACGGGCAATATAGACATACCGTCCATTCCGGGCTGAGAGGAAAAAAGTTCTGGTGCTGGAGCCGACTCATCGACAGAAGCTTCTCTCTGCATAGTGAAAACGACAATCACCAGTGACGATTTTGTGAGTTGGCAACACTGTTTTTTCTCCATTTAAATCCATTAAAAATATCGATTTCAGGCGAGACAAGCTACCTCATAAAGAATCGACTGTTTTTCATACATTTAAATGGAAGAAACACAGTATTGCCAACTTTCAACAATCGCAGCTGGTAATTTCATTGTTTCTAAAACGAGCAAGGAATAGTTGGATTACATTTTGCAATAAGGAACCATTATTTTTGACCTTCCCGTAGAAACACATATCTGAGTAGGGAAACCAATGGCACGTATGTTGTTTCTAAAATGGGCCTGAAATAATGGTTCCTTATTGCAAAATGTAATCCGGTTCTTTGCGAAGTTATTTTTCGCGAGTTACCTCTAGCGTTTAAATTGGACGTATTTCTGTCAAATGGAACTATGTGCCTTAAGAAATGAGCCCTGAGACCCATAAGAATACATGCATAACAGGGCTCACGCCATAATGCACATAGTTCCGTTTGACAGAAATACGTCCAATTCTTATCAATAAATGTCTGGATTTTCAGTTCTAAACATACAATGTTCCGTCGCCATTGACCACTGAGTTCGTGCATTACTGTGGCTAGTTTTGCCTAGTCTAAAATCTGAAGGCGATTACATCGATAACTTGAACTTCATATTGCGATATGCGATATGGAACTAGTGTTTCTGGCTCATTTTAGACACAATGTATTTTCCAAACTTTCCTTATATATATAGGTGCCTTTACGGATGAGTTAGAAACAGTGTTCCTCGTTGCAAATTCTTCAATTTGTTCTTTTTAGGTTGGAGGTCAATGTCTTGGGCAGGCTTGGCGATTAGATTCCGAGAAAGGAAACACGGTGGCAACATTTTTATATACCTCGTTTCAGATAAGTACCCTTGTTACAAAGAGGATCTATTTTGTAATCTAGCGATTTTGCATTGCTTTCTTTTTGAGAGAAAATAGTTTCCTCCGGAATTTTAAAAAGTTTGTCCGCAACACTGTTTCCACCTGATCATACGAAGGGCATTTTTTCATTGTGCGAACTGTCCTCACTCAATTTCAAGGACCGGCGGTGCAAAAGGTTTTTTTTTTATTTTTTATTATAAGCCCAAGATTTAGCACCTCTTGCCGCAATACAGCCTGTAATAAGGATGATTTTTTTTTACTCACTGATGTTCTACACGGTTCTCGGGTTCCTGGAACTTTCAAAGCGAGCGATAAAAGCGGACTCTCACCTTTACTGTTCTGTAACAAAAAGCAAAAACATCTTGCGTTAGGATCAGTTATTGTTGCGGAAGAATAGAATAGACCGTTTAAACAATGAAACTGCGGAGGCAATACAGTGCGTCCGCTTCGTACCGGCGCACAGTAAGACAAGTCAATGGGAGAGGTTGGGCATAGTAAATGAACTTCGAAAGCTCATATCTTCATTACTGCGAATCTTGTAGGTTCAAAAATGGCTCCATTGGTTTTCTCGTGAAAATTACTGTAAAAAGCACAGCTTAAAAGTTATAATGTGACGCGATATATAATTTTTTTTAAAATCAAATTCCATGTTCAGCTTCCATTTTAAGATTGTTCCACTGTGCGACGGTAACCTCTGCGTTCAATCACCAACTACCTTCCTGATGAAGATCTCCCACCCTGGTCGAGATGAGAATGAATCTGACCGTGTTTGCGGCAGCATAGGAAATAGCTGTCGATCGATACTCGATTGCTGATTATAAATGAGCCTAGACAAGGAATGAATTAAAGCTCCACGCTTCATGTTTTCTCCTTAAAATTTCACAAGGAAAATGAATCACACAATATGGGAAGTCCGGAAATCTACTCACTGGAAGATTGAAACACATTGGATCTAGAGCCCAGACTCCTAAAAGCATCGATAAGAAAATGTACTCTTGATTCAATCAGAATCTAGCTTAAATCAAGAACCAAGCCTCTTAATTTAAGCGGATTTCGTTTTGATTCAAGCAAAAATCCGATTGAATCAAGAAAATTTTTCTTGTCGCAATGTTTTCAAGAGTCTGGACTCTAGATCCAATGTGTTTTTTTTCCAGTGCTTTTAAACGAGATATGAGTGTTTAAAATTAAAATTAAATGACAAACATACAAAATACGGAATTTCTGTACCTAAATTCCATTTGATTTGTGTTAAAAGTACGTTCAAGAGTTATTTTTCAACCTTTCCATAGTGCAAGATCGTTTTCTACGTAAAATTTTCAGGAGAAAACATGTGACGTCTTTTTCGAGTTCAGAACCTGTCTAGCGGACTCCTGGAAAGGTTTAACCAAAATCAGCCTAATTACATTTCACGTTGACCAATTTTCTCATACGTTTCATTTTTCTTTGGAGGAAAATCAAGCAATATAACGCCTTGAGAGTTTCGAATTTCTTTCGGAGTATGAAAACTTTGCAAACAAAACTTCAAGGCAGAATGTGGTCCAATTTCATCGTTAAAAATCATAAATATGAGAAGAAATCAGGTGGCATCTAATATTGTTCGACTGTTTCTGTTCAGATCTCAATTGAGTTTCTTTAACCGGCAATCCTCGTAAACGCAGAGAACGCAGCAGTCAATAGTCATTATTTAGACCACTGCTGTAACGGAAAAGACGAAACTTCACGTTTGGAGGCGGTAAAATTTTTGAAAAATTTTGCTTTGGAGTAGAGCAGTAGACATTTAAATAAGTTCCTCCCTGCCGAAGAACAGGTGGCATCTACTTTGCCTTGTTGTCTTAGACGAAAAAACGACTTTTAAGAATGGATCTTAGAATGACGACACTTAGACATAAATAGGCATCTGGCATCAGCTCTGCCCTCGTAGGAAGAGCTACATTAATAAAGGCAAGGCTGAAACCTACCTACTATCTAGACAATGCAATTTGACCTACCTCTAGAGAGATGAGCACTAAACACTGATCCATATATAATCAGAATGGTAGTTAAAGTAGATGAAACGGTCAGAACGTTAATTCGGTCTGAGTAACAAAAGTTAACGCTCGATCTACTAAACCTAAAAATCGCTAAAATAGTAGCAACACCGCGGCTGAAATAAATAAAATACTCATTTTTTTCTCATTTTTTGTGGACTTACACGTGTTTTGTATGTTGCGGGTTTCTTTTTACACAATAGTCATGCCAAAAATTAAGCGTTCCAAGAAATTCCTCTAAAAATGTTATTTCTTTTTATATCGGCTCCATCCAGAATGTTCGCAACTTTTTAGACTGATGCAAAATTGTTTTTCTGCATTTGCGTGCTTTGTCTATTCATCGGCAAAAAGCATGAAAAGCAGGGTTGCGGGCTGATTATTGAAATTGATAGTCAAAGTGATAGACAAAGAAGAAATAGAGGGTATAGAGCGATCCTATCGGTTGAAATGGGTGGTTCTTATATATAGACTAAGGGAGGAATTGATGGATTAACTGTATGCATCGCCCCATCTTCCCTCTGTCTTTTATGTCTATCGATATGTCTATCAATTTCAATCACCAGCCCACTGGTGGTGTAAATGTATATCGAAATAAAATCGAAAGCGTATGTCAGCAAAGGGGAAATTTGGAAAAGTTGAGAAAATACTTTATTCACGTCATTTGTAGGGCATGCTGAAAGAACAAATTGAAACAAAAAATCTGCAACATCGTTTTAATGACAGGCACGTGAATAAAATCACCAACTCAGGGGCGTGATTGCACTCCCGAAACCGGTTTTGTCTCTCCACGTTATAAATCTTCCCCTCTTGCGGCCGCAAGCGGCTAAAAATAAAATTCGCCTGCTAATGGGATTCGTGTCAAAATGTCAACGAGTTGAAAAATCAGCTCAGCGAAGAGACAATCGCGCAGGGCGCGAAACTTAGAATTGCGAGTCATAGATGACATTTCAGCCGCTTTCGATTGAGGAGTGGTTCATCGTGCATTGTTTTGCCGATGATTTCTAGGTAATCTTTAAATTCCTCAGACTAAATTCAATATAAGCTCCCTATTTTTTGACCTCATTCTGTAATTTATATACATACAAGAAGAGCTAAACAAAGTGCATAACAAAATGATGAGACATTATGGAAGGGAGACGCCAGGACTGGGTGGTTTCAACTTCTTTATTCACCTAAAGAAACCATTTCCGAAATCATCCAATAAAACTTTATTAAGCTTAGGTCATGTTAGTACTTTCAAGGCTTACAGAAGATGGATTTGAAATGACGCATGGTGGATCGAGTCAATGGGAGGGGTCGGACAAAATGTGGAAACTTTAAAAGATTATAACACCATTTATGCAAAATTTTGAGGTTTTAAAAGTGGTTGCATTGGTTTCCTCGTGAAATTTACTTTCAGAGGCACCCCTTTAGATTTAAAATGTGACGAATTGAACATCAGAATTTGCAGTTTTTGTCAAAAATTGCATGTTCGGCCTCTCTGATTGACTCGATCCACTGTGCGGTGCGCGTTCAAAGACCTCATCGTGATTAAGCCGATGCCGATAAGCATTTATTACAAGGCATTTGATGTGAAACAAAGTGCGATTTTTTTTACCATTCCTCAGTATCTTGCATTCTCTCCGTGTAACGAGGTATCCTCATTTAAGCTAAAATTTGGAGCAAAGCTGTTAATTATTACTTCATAATGACTTTCAAAGAATTTAAGTCAAAATCTTATGAAACATCTGCATTGAGCGGGATTTTTTAGGTGCAATAAGAACGCTGTAAAGAATCGCATTCCCTTTCGCTAGTTAAGCCTAAAATCGAAAACCTTAATGACTAGTGATCAGGCAGTGTAAAGATGCACGTGCGAAATCTACTCTGTATAGACTATTTCCCTTTCCAAAAACTATGAGCAGATGGAGATGACATTATATAAGTTCGGTTAATTTATACGAGAAAGTAATTAATTCATTTATTCAATGTTCACCTCTCGTATCTGCACGACATGCGCTCTCATTCTCGACCGACCTGAGGAATCGCGAGTTTATGCATTCGTTAATGGAGAATGTTTTTAGATCATTCAAACTGACGTTTTCTTCCAGGTTTGGGTAGGTCCGTGGATCTCGGAAGTTGCATCCTTTGAATTGTAGCCATTAAAGAAGACACACATTTTTTTAAAGAGATATCACGGAGAAAAGAACCTCGTGCGTGGGACCCGAAGTTGAGGTCATATGGATCTCTGAAGTTTTCGGATCACGTATCTAATAACTTGAGGTCCAGCTGCCGGTGTTCGGGTCAGATATCTGAATTACTCTGGTACATACCGAAGTGCCCCGATGTCTGACCCGAACTTCGGTAGCTCGACCTCAAGTTTTCGGATGCGTGATCAGAAAACTTTAGATCCATATGACTTCAACTTCGGGTCCCATGCACCAAGTTTTTTTCTCCCTGAGAAGCCTACATGCGCTTTGAGTGGTTGGATTAGTGAGGATGCTTGTGCGGCGTTGAGTCAATATCTGACGACGTATTGAAGACTAAGCAGTAAACGATGGAATTGAAAATATATATGGCAACTTAAAAATAACAAGACTGAGCGCCAATTACATGCTATAAATCGTGCCGCCATTGCCACCAGGGGTCGTTCATGAATACGCAACGCTCTAGGGGAAGTTAGGGAGAGCGATGCGCTATTTCGTTTTTACGTGTTAAAGAATTGGAAATTACGTCACAAAAGTGTAAGGGTTGAGAGGTATAGGGTGTCCAAAAACCCAGATTTTAACGTCATGTATGTTATGAACGGCCCCTTGTAACAAAAATTATTTGTCTAACTTTTCTGGCCTTGCGTTTAAGTCTCCAAAGAATGCTAACAATAAATATCATACGTGCATGCATGCAACACAACATGTGTACTTTAAGTCCAAAAATCTGAGCTTCAGCATTAGAAGCTCAGCTTTAGCTTCTTATGACAAAAATGACTTGTCTAACTTTCATAGCCTTGCGTTTAAGTCTCCAGAGAATTGCCAACTATTTGTAGTCTCTCACTTCTATGGTGAATCGTATTTCTCGCTATTATATCAATTCGTCCAGGCCTAATACGTGAAAATGATGAACTCATGTAGAAAATATACACTTTTGAAGAAACTTATGAATATTTTTCCTTGAAATTTTCAGACTTTTTAGATCAAATTTTGGAAAAAATCCTCCGAAAAATCGGAGGAGAAAATATGCAAAAATTTCTCTGAAAATTCATTGTTTTTCGGAGGAAATTTGGCACCGCCTATAGGCTCATACGACGTTTTTCCTTAGCACGGCAGAACCGTCTTCATG